GTAAGCTCTGAGTTCCAAGAAATTATTAGTAAGAAATAAATATTTCTACATTATACAAAACATTATTATTAAGTAATCAAAAGTTTTTCGTGACTCTAGAATAACTCGCGCATTAATAAAAGAAGAACTATTTTCGTGACTCATACCGCGGGTTTAGCTGAATATTCAGCAGTTATTAATAAATAAGATACAGTACAATGGTTAGTATAAATATCTTTTTTTGAAAATGCATGTATCAAGAGAGCTTTTCAACTCTTTACCACCATGTAGTATTTCATGGTTATCTTTATTGAAGGAAGTTATAATATCAGTTCTACTTCCGATTCTTGTGGTTTGTTTACAAATAAAATTTAGGTCACGATATGAGTTAACCTTCGCTATTCTAAAAATAGATTCTACTTCACTTATGCTAGCGATAAGTACACATTATACATGTAATAAACCAGCGGATTACATGCAATACAAATGACTTATATTTTATTGTCTATATGCCCATTATGATAACACGAAGCACGGATTAATATTACATGTAATATGTAATATAAATCCGTGCACGAAGCAATTCTAAATAGCATTCTCACATGTATAATGTATTATGCTTGAAGTTTATTTGCATGTTTTTATTTTAGAAATATTTCGTTGTCAGTTTTTCCTTCTATTTACATATCATTTCAAAATCGATAAGGGCACTGATTTACAAGTTTGACCAGAGTTTTTAGGCATAAATTTCATTCTGTATTTAATGCTTGAAAGTAGAAAATCTGAATTATAACAGTTTGGGACACAAAATATATTGCTCTACAAATCTCGAACTTGTATGGAACAAATTTTCTCTGTTATATATTTTGCGTTTTGTTTTTTTTTTCTAAAAAAAGCCTGAATGTCTCTCCGGTTACATGTCCGTCGCATTCAGTGCTGCAGCACTTTGATTTATATTACGTGGTAGTGCTTTTATTACAAAATTAAGTATTTTACAGGATACTTTCTTATGGCATTTTTAAGAAGTTATCAAACTTTTAGAATGTAAAAAGTCTATTCTAACACTATCGGAAATTTTTCTATATAAACAAAGAAGGCCTGAAGCGTGCATTATTCTACAAGAATGCATTCGCCGTTCTTATTATCTCCCTGTGTATTTTCACATTGAGGGCGCCATTTTGTTTGAAAATATGATAAATTAAAACAATTTTTGACGAATTTTGCTGTGAAAACTATCAAGAATGAAAGAAAATGGTTTAACTAAGAAAATTAATCCGAACACCTAATATCTTTTATTCAGTCGTTAACGCTGTACAGACGTTTAAAGTGTTGTTTACGTGACGTCACAATGTAGCGCCAAACAGCACGTGCACAACAATCAAATCAAGTACGCTATTTTAATGTCGCAAACGAGTTAAGTTTTACACTTATTTCACTTTTAATAATTTGTATTTCGCTTGAAAAATTATAGAGTAAAATATAATAAACAAACAAAGATGTATCAACGTTTTCAAAATTCGTTATTCTAAAAGTGTTTCTACACACGGTAGATTTAACGACAGTTTTTTTTTCAACCCACTGGAACAGCCTTAAAAGGATGTTTCTATTGGAAACACTGAGGCGAAAACAAATTTATCCACCAAACATAAAGTCCAACTTTATTATAATAATTATATTTTTTCTTAACGTGTTAGAATGGAAATAGATATCTATTTTTTCATGCATTGTTGTAGAATAATGCACGTTTTTCGTTCAAATGCTTTGTAATTAATCACTCAGGCCTATCGGCCTTCGTGATTATATTACTACGCATTTGAACTCAAACCGTGCATTATTCTACAACAATGCACTCAGAATTGAAATCTATTTCCTAATTATAATTTTGTAATTAATTAAATGTCTCAAATAACTTTAATAATGACAATGTGCAATTATGTCATCCTATTGGAATTGATTTATATGATGTAAATGTTGAGAAAATGTGAAAGTACGTTAATAAGGGAGGTAATTCTACAATATATTATACATTTCTATAATATGGACTTAGGAGTTATCCCTCTTAGTATTAGCTATAACAAGTCTCTTGTAATTCTTTCGAGAATGGCTGTATACAAATTAATTGTTTTAAATGTTTTATATGTATATACATGTATGTGTATAGATGAGACTATAATAAAGATTTATATATATAAAATTAAAAATGTATATATAAAAGCCATATCTTTTTCATTAAAATTATCTGATTAAACAGACAGTTGACAGACATTTTGTTAGTATAATCAACATATAATTATAAAAGTAATATATAAAAGCCAAGTGTATCATCAAAACAATAATTAATTTACAAAAAGCAGTTTATTTTAAGAAACTCAATTAATAGACCATAATCAATGCCTTTATCATAATTAACATTCAATATCATATTATTTTTCTTTTATTAGCTTCAGTTTTCATCAACATAATAATAATCGTCATTTGTAATGCATGTATCTTGTTTATTATTGATCTTGTAGACAAAGCATTTTTCTGTAGTCGCACGATATGTTAGTGGTCTGATATATAATTTATCATAAAATAATGACAAAAATATCGAATTATTAAAATGTTGTAAGAATCTGTTCAGGTACGGCAACTTCTCCAAATGAAATAGGGAGTCATAATGAAAAAAAAAACCAGGCCAGGAAAGTACATGTCTGCTCCTAGTCCACCTTATAAATTTGAATGAACAGAAAATCAGTTTATACAAAAACCTTTGAAACAGGGATACCAGTCATCGTATACAACACAAGGTGACATTGTTATTTTATTTTTCTTAAAGGAAATTTGGTTTTGTCAAAACAAAGTCAATAACTCGTCAAAAAATATCTGTATACCTTAACTTAACGTAAACTTACCATTTTTGTGAAATAAGATATATTGACAAACCCCGCTTCAAAGAGTGACATTTGTTATAATTACACCACTCATCATATCCATAGTAATTATCTAAATGCTATGGTTTGTTCATACAGAACTTATTTAGTTCTATTGTGTAGGAAGCTATATTAATTATAAACACACTTTCGAATCCGTTCCTGGAACCAACCAGATCTGAGTAATGTGTTTAAGTTTCTTGCTCATGGAAACAACGGCTTGCCCTTGACGGGGTTTGAACTCATGCGGCTAGCGATTATTATTGCTAAGTTTAATGAGGATCTATCCGTCCGGTAAGGCTTAAAATGTATCTTTTGGTATCTGGACATGTCACTAATTATGCCGTTGTCCCTGTCTACATTTAATGACCACCCCCAACTGTGTCAGTATTGACAACGACGGAAACTTCGAAGAATCTAACGTCCGGTCACATTTATTGTTTTGCCTCCAAATGTTTTTACAAATCTTCTGTCAATGTCACGTGGCTCTTAACGATATACAAGTACGTAGGGGAAGAATGTGAGTAAAAGTCATTTATAATCTTTTCAACATTTTAATTGATTAACTTTAAATTTTAAAATTATTTACATTAATTTCTTGGGTTTGAGTATAATAATACATTGATTTAATAGCAATGTTGTATTCTGTACATTCGACTTTTGGAATCGTAGCTTAAAGTAAGAAGTATAAAATCGCTTTCCAATTTTTGTCAATAAATCTAGAGACCAGCTGCTGTTGCATTGTTTTAGAAAAGGATTTTTGCATGGATGTCAAAAAAATCATTATTGCAGACCTTAATTCTTTCATTTCATTATCGATGGCCGAGGAATGTGAGTATTATAGAAGTATAATGAGACATCCTTGTTGTATAGCAAACAAGTAAATTTTAAAAAAACTCAGGTCCACTATTAAAATGTTAAATAAGATACAATATGAACCATTTGACTAGAAAACATAAAAGCATGTAAGGTTTGAACATTTTATTTAAATCATTCACAGTGATTTATCATCACATTTAAGATATCTTATGCAGTTGTATATTGTAAATGTACATGAAGTACGTTTCATCTGAAATATATCTCGCCTATGTATCTTTCTTGTTCTTAGGGAATTGCTGTTGTTTTCCATCCACTTGTTTATTTCTGCGCCTGCGGCTTGACTAAAATTAAAAGAAGGGCTAACTTTTTTAAAGTGTTACAAGTAGTTAAGCTAACCAACATTATTAACACAACTTTTGTAGGAATTCTAGATAAACATGAATCTAAATATAATTTACATAACTAATTAGAAAATGTTTTTGAACAAAATGGTATATTTGTTACATTAAGTTGGAAATATTCATTATTATTTATTTTCAAGATTAAAAACTGTAGATACCAGTATAATTTGGTAGGTTCTTGAAATTTAATCAAACGAAATATCAAAATTCGTTTAAATGTAATGCATTTTACATTCCAAATTGATCAGTAGGCTTAAGAAATTATTCATTTGTTAAAATAGATAATATAAGACAGATGTATAAAGAAAGCTGAACTTACCCCTGCTGTTATGCATTGAAAATGAAAAAATAATCAATTCATCAACAAGATAAGGATAAAACTTTAGCTAAAATTTGAAATAGTAAATGATATTTAGAAAGGAATACTTTTCGCAGTTAATCAGTATTTTGTTTGAAAACTGATGGCATTGAATAAATATCTATTTCACCTGTAATTCAATTTAGCGTTTATGTTGCTCGACTTCATTGACACATATTCTTGATCACAATTTGGTATTGAGAGCAAATGTATATGATTTGCATATTATTCATTTTTTCTTATCGGATTTAACTACAGCACACATAAAAAAATTTATTCATTGATTTGAGGCGATCAAATTTTTTTATCTCCGTTATCATTCCCATAGCAAATCCTTAGAATATGTTTATTTTCTTGAGAAGACATTAAACGATTTGACATTGCTCAACTTTATGACTGAAACATACACGTGTGTCAAACGATTTATCTTAAGATATTTTCAGTCTCATATATATTGCGACATGTAAAACTAGACATGTGAGTTGTTAAACGCACAGTGGAGCGTGTGAGAATATATATAACATTACATACCAGGCATAGAATTAATCCTTGCTAGGAAACCTAGGTGTCGGGTAGAACCATCTGTACGAAAGTAGAGTGTCATACATCTTCCTGTGCTCTCAACTTCTTCCAATGGGTAAAATCCACTCTGATATCCTTCACAGTAATTATCACCACAAAATGTGGCAATAAGATTAGGTCCTATGTATTCGCCTGAATAAAGAAATAAAAATCAAGTGCTTTTTTGCAAGACCTATCTTATAAGACTATCCAAATGATAAAATAGTTATTGTAAATATGTCAATTATAGACCAACCAGCTTTTTAAAAAATAAATTCTTACAAGTAGAGGTGTATGTGTCGAAAGTAACTTACCGTCAAAAATATTGACATAATCATAATCGTCACAATTGTTGTCTCTTTCTGTTTGAAATATGAAGAAGTCCAAAACAATTATGTGCATTTGATTCACGGAGCAGAACGTCCATGTACAATTAACCCTGTGTGGATACTTATCGGGAAAGTTCGGTGTTGTAATTTCAACCTCATTATTAGGGTTTATGTCAATTTGTTCACCACAAACTAAAATAATCAGTATTCAATTCAACAAAATATGATATACTAGTAATAGTACTGTATGGAACTAATTTTCACCTTACTATAAATGTTCCGAATTTGATATTGTAATAGCTCATGGCTTCAACTAAATGTTGTTACTGAGCTACCGGCATAATATTTAAACTTTATTTCAATCCAGTACTGATCACTTACCAAGAACTTAGATAAATGAATATGTAAACGTCAAGAAATATATTTATTAACATTATAGAATATAACCCTTAATGTAATTCCATTGTCTCATTATACAATTGACTAGCACTAACTTAAATAAATATTACCTAGATTCCTATTGAAAACTTTAACAGTGTCGATTTAGATAAAATATTCACTTCAATAAATGCCATTAAATAATAAACTATACTTACAAAACTCTGGTGGATCATTGTGACTTGCATCCACTGATGATACGTAAAGTATCAATGCTATGAGAGGCAAAAACACACCCTTCATCTCGAATAAACAATTTAAAGCAATTAATTCACTAAAATGTACTCCTTTCTGATACTTTAGCGTTATGGCTCAATTTGTACAGACTTACTCAATTTATTGCAAAAGCTTTTGGTGTGTAACAATTTGATTGGACATTTGAAATTTCCATTTTTGATTATTACACATATTTCATTTGATTAATGTGTTAGAAAATGGAATATGATTGGTTGCTTGGATGATGGTAATTTTCAAATTTTGGAATGTATATCTATTGGTTAAGGTATGATTATAATCAACCAATAGTAAAATCTGTATTGATTGTATGTATTAAAATAACCTTAGCAGATGTTACATACACACGTTGTTTTACGCTAATTTTATACTTATTCCCTTTTGAATATTATTTTCATGTTTAACTTAATAGATCTATTGCTCAATTTTCAAATCAGCTGAATTTGTTTTCATGTTGGATGTAAATGGACAAGAAGGTAATAATTTTCTATCTTATCATATATTCGACTTGATTTTATGTAGTGTGTACAAATATGAATTTATAAACATAAAATCAACTTTCATTTTGTCTGTAGATGTATTTGTGTTGTAAATTTAGCTGTAAAATATTATGAAAGTATCATTTCTAGATAACGTATAAATATATCTAGTATCATATGTTGAGCAAATGACACAGACAATAATTATTGCCAAAAGAGAGATAATGTCACGACAAAATTGCAAATTTATAGTACAAATGTTATAATTTTGTTTTTGGTAGAAGAGTCGTAATTATTTATTGTCTTTCTATCAATATCTGGAAAAATGTGATCCGTCAAAAGCATTAAAAACATCAAAATAACATGAAAATTGCAAATTCAGTGTGATTGAGTCTGTATATCAAGCAAAAAGAAAAGGGTCAACCCTAGGAAACATGGGCTCGAATATTTGTGGAATCGCGAATAAATCTCCTCATTAGTAATATAAGCAGTAAGAAAATTGTTGAAATAATATTAAGGAAAATATCATGACAATTTAGGTAAAATGAATATGATATAAAAACCTACCAATGAGGCCCGAATATGCTTTTTACTTTTCATTTCTGGTATTCCATTATATTATATATAGTCTCTAAACATTAGTCACGGGCAAATGTGCTGAATCATCTTTTACTTCTGTGCAATCAGTAAAATATTGCATCTTGCAAATTATAGTATTCATTATTTTGTAAAGAAGTCAAATTACTTATTTGTTTACATTTTGCTATTTTTTTGACAAATACTTCCACATTTATATAAACCTTAAGTAACCTTAAGTAATAAGCATCTTACAAGATACAGAGTTACACAACATATGTTTGTTCTTTCTAAAGACTGAAATATTTATTCGTTTCTGAGGCCATAAATGAATTTTTTTTTAATTTTTAAAAAACTTTTTTGAAAATTTTTTAAATTTTTTTTAAACACTCCGTCAACTACCATTCAAATCAACATGCCTTAATTATTCATGGAATTTCGAAAATTATTTAAAATGTAAACTATTCAAGTCAAAAAAATAATTACAAATTGGAAAAACTTACAAAAACTCGTTTTAAAACCGACAAATCAAATATTTCAAAAATCCCTTTCGCTTTATCACCAGAAAAAATCCAAGTTTAAAATTCCATAAAAAAAAATATTACTTAATTTTTCTTTATATTTTCTTAAAAAACTTATTTGTAATTTAAATTTTGACTTTTAGGGGCATATCTTTAAATTTTTTTTTAGTTTTAAATAGGTGTTTCTAGCAATGATTGTTTTGTTTTTTTTCCTCAAGTTTTGGTTGTTTAAAATTTTGTATGTCCTCTAAAATAAATAAACAATTAAAAGCCAAGATTTTTAATGTTAAATCTATAAATCTACAAATAACAAAACAAAACAAAAAAGATTCAATGCAGGGTTGGGGAAAGGGGTTGTTTTTTTTTAAGCTTATTCATAAATCAATCAATCACAGGTGTTCAAATCTTTTATCAAAATGAATATAGATTGATATATGTAAAAATAAATGTACGGAAGGCCATGTAAAGAATAATATTACTAAATATAACTAAATTAGCAAAGGTGTTTTGATATCTTGTAAAGATACAACTTAGAGACAGATGTACGTAAATTGCCTTGAATATATTACTCACTTCATCGACTAATGATTATTAATTTTTGAAACAATTCTAAAATACTGATACGCGCTAGTTGTTTTAGTAAAAATATTTATTTCCAATGAAACAGTTTAAAAAAATATTTTTTCTGAAATACAAGTTATCAACCTAACAAACTATTCATAAGTCAAAACATACAATATTAAAGAGAGTTTAAACTTTGAAGATTTAAATTTTTTCAAGATTCTGGTTTAAATCTTTTGGTTTTAAAAACCTCATAAGCGGCCAAGATTTAAACATTTTATTGTTTTAAAAATTGTTAAAAATAAATTATATGGAATTTCTAAAATTTTTATTTTTTTTTCGGGTTTTTTGTCCCCTTTTTTTGGAAAAACCTTGTATTAAAAAACCCCTTAAAATTATTAAAATAAAGTATGAATTTTCTGTTTTTTTTTCCGAAGGGTTTTCACAGCTTAAATGCTAGTAATTTCAAATTTTGGGAAAAAAATCGAAAGCTTGTGTTCATATGCGCAAAATTCACTTTTTGCTTATTTTTGTTCCGTGTTCCTTTCCCCTTTAGATTTCTTTAAAAAAATTTTTTTCGGCGCCGATTTTGTTAAGTTTTAAAAAAAATATATCTACGCTAAATGTCAGAACCCCTTTCCATAATCAGAACATTCTATTAACATATTATCGACAAACTGAAATAATAAAAATATGGTATACCGGGCAAGAGAATAACAAATGTATTTCAATTGTCATTTGATGACAATTGTATTAGCTGCTGGCATTGATTTTAAAAGTGATATTTTCAAGCTAATGCTTACTAATACTTTGTCACATTAGTCATGTTTCACTCCAACTTAATAATCTAGTAAAATGTACTAAAAACTGTACTACTAACAGTGCCCTCTGTAGTAGTCGTGAGATTACATGATAAGCAAGGACTATATATTCATGCAAAATAATAATCATATAAAATACCCATTGTGTCAAACGCAAAAGACTGGAACACAATAAATTCAAATATTCGAGTTATGTTTTTGTTAACATCATATGCATTATAGTGTTGACTTAGTTTTAAATATTGCTATTATCATTAGCATATAAATTAACAAAGTTAATGTGTATTGACAATATATCCCCGACGTTATTGAGGGCACTCTTTGAATACATTAAACAATTATCTTTTGTCTGTTATAATAATATATTTCATGAAATCAGAAAATTAGCGCTCCTGGGCGCTGGTCCTTGTTGCTTGTCGTGTGGGGGTTGCGTTCATTGAACGCCGCCTTTCCTTGTTGATCTTGTTTACCATATTTTGATAATTGAGTTCCTTAAAATAAAATATTGGTATATAAATGATTGTTTTGATTAAACACATGGCTTTTATACATTCATTTTATAATCATATGTCGACTATCTGAACGATATGTCATTCATTTGTCTGTTTAATCAGAATGCTAGTTTAATGATATTTATAATTTTGATGAAACAGATGGCTTTATATTTACATTTTAATTTTATATGATGCCAGTTTTGAACGATATATCAACAAATTGTCTGTTTAATCAGATATAAGTTGATATGCTCTATTTTGATAATGGTCTGTTAATTGAGTTCCTTAAAATAAAATATTTGTATATAAATGATTGTTTTGATTAAACACATGGCTTTTATACATTCATTTTATAATCATATGTCGACTATCTGAACGATATGTCATACATTTGTCTGCTTAATCACAATGCTAATTTTATGAAATTAATAATTTTGATGAAACATATGGATTTATATTTACATTTTAATTTTATATGATGTCAGTTTTGAACGATATATCAACAAATTGTCTGTTTAATCAGATGTAAGTTGATATGCTCTATTTTGATAATGGTCTGTTAATTGAGTTCCTTAAAATAAAATATTGGTATATAAATGATTGTTTTGATTAAACACATGGCTTTTATACATTCATTTTATAATCATATGTCGACTATCTGAACGATATGTCATTCATTTGTCTGCTTAATCAGAATGCTTGTTTTATGATATTAATAATTTTGATGAAATATATGGCTTTTTATTTACATTTCTAATTTTATATGATGACAGTTTAAACGATATGTCAACAAATTGTCTGTTTAATCAGATATAAGTTGATATGCTCTATTTTGATAATGGTCTATTAATTGAGCTCCTTAAAATAAAATATTTGTATATAAATAATTGTTTTGATTAAACACATGACTTTTATACATTCATTTTATAATCATATGTAGACTATCTGAACATATGATGACAGTTTTGAACGATATGTCAACAAATTGTTTGTCAAGTTGATATGCTAATTTTCTTATTTGATGAAACATATTGTTATAACTCATCTTTAGCGAAAGACCAAAAGAAATTTTGAATTATTTATGGTGTTTAATTATTAGCGTTGGGGATGGATTGTTACAATTGATTGACATTTCGTTCAAAACGTTAACCCGTTAATTAACAAATGTATTAATAAAGCAATATGCTTTATCAGAATTATTAATATAAAAAAACCAGCATGTCAACTAATCATATTTAATTAAACAGACAATTGACTGACATTTCGTTCAGATATTAATCATATAATTATAAAATGAATATATAAAAGCCATGTGTTTCATCAAAACAATCATTAATATACCAATGTTTTATTTTAAGGAACTCAATTAACAGACAATTACCAATGTCTATATCGTGATCATAAATACTCAATGTCATATATAAATAAGTTATTATTAATTATTAAAAACCGAAAAATGTTAAATTTACTTTTGTTCGTGTTTGGGATAAAACTTGGAAATTAACATTACAAATGATACTGGCATCAACTGGTTTATATCTTTAAAATGAATAATAATTAATATACCAAACAGGTCCTTTATCACAAAATATTTTCTCATTAGTTCAGTAAATTTTATGCAGATTCTTGTTTATCTTGATTTCCTATAACAATTATGTCACTATTATTAGTAAGCTTAGTTATTTCTAACACTTTAAACGTAAGCATTTTTTTGAATGTTAGTCTGGAAAATCAAGCCGATGTGCCGCCGTCAAATGATGTTGAAAAGAGAGATTTAATGATTATAATGGTGATATTTTGTCCACAACT